TTTTCCCAGATCTAATGTAAATATACCGTTTAGACCGATCGTACATTAACTAATTAAGTTGAAACAGAAAGAGAATGGCACACAGATGTAGAGGTTACAATTTAATATGTTGCTTATCCAAGACTTTTATACTATGAAGATAATTTAATTAACTTGATTCCGAGAAATGAGTAATGTTTAGTTTACAGATCGTATTTACTTTGTTAACATGGATAGTTCTTGGTAATTATTAAACCGTGATGACAAGCATTATGAGACACCCCTTGCATTTAAAGTCAATAATTTGACATAAATTGTAGCAATCGAAGACGGGATTTTAGCTACGACCGAACATATTGGCGTTAAAGAGTTAATAAACAAGATTTGAATACATTTTCATTTAATACTTTATGTTTCAATGTTATACTTTGATATATAGTAATATTGAATAATGGAATCAATACATGGCAAAAGTTTAACCTGGTAGGTTTGACAGCTAGTTTTTTTATTCATCATCAGTCATCAACCGTCATTGATAACTTAGTTATCAACCAGGCACTAATCTGTGAAACTGTTTAATTTGTTATTCTGATTGATGCATTTTTTGTCCATATGAGGTGGTCCGCACACACAGTTAATATACATTGCGGAATATACATAATTTTATGCAAATTGCATTCTGACATGAGTGGTAGGAATATTGCAATGAGAAAATTTGATCAGATTAAACATCTTATTCAATTTATAAACATCCTGCATAAATTGATTAAACATATAAAGAATATTTTACTAACGCCTTTCCAAGCATTCTTATTTACCTTTTCCCATATTTTCTTCTCAAATTAGATTTGTCATGATTTTGCCTAGATTCATTATAATTATCTACCACCCTCATGCTGCCTAAATTTTAACCTATTTTGCTGCAATCCTAATGTCCATAACAACTTGGCATTGCACACGGCCATATTTTCTCAGACTGCTTATGATTGCGTTTGTTAAATCAGATGGATGTGTATTAATATTTTAGTGTTTGCAATCATGATTTATTTATAAGCTGTTATTGTAAGAACTTGATTTAAATAACTGCTAGTACTTTCAGATCGATACTTTGTGTCATTAACTTCGAGTACTCTCAGTTCGGTACTTTTTTTTCTTTTTTCCCCTAATTTTTATATGCTTCCTGACGATCTCATAAGTCATGATCTTCTCAACTGATAAACACATTATATAAAAATAAGGAGATGTGATAGAATTGCCAATGAGACAACTATCCACCAAAGATCACATAAAGTGAATGTAAGCAATTATAAGCAACCGTACGGGGATTTTGTTCTAATGTTGTGCTGTTAAACTACTGTCGTTGGATACCGTTTGTCATACTTTTCGTTTATTATTTGGCACATAAATCAGGCCGTTTTCATTCGAATTCGTTTACGTTTTTGATATCGGGAACTTTTATAGCTTACTTTACGGTATGGGTTTTGACCATTTTTGAAGGATGTATTGTGACCTATTGTTGCTTACATCCATATCATTTGGTCTCATTTGGAAAATTGTCTCAGTGGAAATCATACCACATCAGCTTGTTTTAATATTGATAGGAGCATTTAAAATATTTATGCCTGAAATTGAAAATAAATATTTATAGAAGCAGGAGAAGTTGTGTATTTCAATAAAAATCAATCTTTTCAATTATGTTTAAATTGGTTAATTTCATCCGTCTTGACAAAGTAAAACGGGAAAATTTCACACAGTGTGTTTTTTTTTTTTTTTATTTTTTAATTCTGTCATCCAGCTGATAAACACAGATTCATGTCATACATGTAGTCAATAATGCGTTTGCGATTTTTTTTTCTTCTTTTAATAAAAGATGAAATGTTTTTGTAATCAAACATTAAAATTGTATGGTATAAATTGTGTGTCGTTTTGGGATTGCCAATCGGATCAATTAATGTATATCCGTGTACTTTAAAATACCTGTACAAGCAAACAGGATTTAAGTCAATCATGTTGTAATAGAATGCGATCTTCCATCATATAACGACTTAATTTCTATCAAAATATTTTAGTTTTTATCGTTTGAGAAAAGATGTGTCGTACTTTGAATTTGAAATTAGTTCACAGAGAAAATACAAACAAAACATGTTTGGTCAATAAATGAAATGCAAAAAACAAAGAAAATAATTTAAACATTTTTGTAAAAACAATTTCCTTGTATGTTTTAACCTGTACAGACATACCTTTTAAATCGGTATAATCACACGCAGATAATATTATATAGATGATGTTCCAATGCCAATGGCGTGCTCGAAAAACCAAGTCAGTCTATATGAAATCAGGCTTGGTTCAATCATATTAGGTAAGGGTTACCTTGACAGATAAAAAGCAGGTGTTGTTAAAACAAAAACTCGTCAAAACAGGACTAACAAGTTACAAAACTATTTAAAAGTAAAAAATCATCAAAAACTGTTCGATACTGACATGATTTATAACAAACCTTTCTAAAATTGTCCATCAATAAATTTTGAAATTGTTAGAAACTACGGTTTCAACTCTCTTAGGCAAAGTTGACCTTAGATGGATATGGCTATTGTTAGGTCCTTGTTTGTAATATATCTTTTTTTAACTGTTTCGGTTCTTACCAATTCTTGTCTTTCAAATATTCGACTTTGAGCGTTCCTGGTGAAGGTAAATCCAGAAAAGTGCTTCGGACAAATGAAATTTATAACATGTAGCTTTCATTTCTTAATTGTCAGGTTATACATACCATAAATACACAGGTACGTTAATGGTACAAAAGTCAAATTACTTTTAACATAACAGGTAAAAATGTCAATCTGAATCGTAATCGGAATCAGTGTTCTGGCTTTTATTTAGTTTGTAGTTGAAAAGTGTGTGGTAACGTTGAAAACACCCTCTCATAAACAGAGATTTTTCGCAGACAGACCAACAGTTACTTGTCGCCTTACGTTTGGAGGTGACACCACAGATAATGCGTTTCCCAGAATTTGTATTTCAGACGGCACACTTTCGTGTAGGGTGCTTAATTTTTCCACCTTCTTTTGAATGTCGTTCATTTAAAAAATTGTCATGTTTGATATAGAATACTAGAAGCAAAAAGCTAAAGAATAGGTTCACACCGAAACTGAACTGAACATGTGACTAATATAAGTAGAAGGAAAACCTCCTTATAAAGAATGTAATCATTTGTGATTTCGAAATTGAATAAAGGAAATAAAATTGTATTCACCATTGATAACATTATTATGGAAATATACTTATTGATAGAAAAGATCTACTGCTCCAAATGTTACGATTGTAGTGTAAATTGCTTATGATTAAGTAACTTAGTTGCCAGTTTTTCTATCGCCGTTATTTAGTAACACAGAAAACTGTGCAGTGTGCTTAGTACTGAGTATACTTACATCATTCTGAACAAAGTCCACTCTGTGTTCTCGTTATATGTATTTCTGTTTATATCCATCTAATGAGTCAAGCCTTTTTCAACTGATTTTTAAAGTTGTTCTTATTTTGTACCGTAACACCACAATCCCAGGTGGGGAAGAGGGTTGGGCGACCGCTAACATGTTTAACCCCGCCACATTCTGTTTGTGTCTGACCCAAGTCAGCAGCCTGTGATTCAGTGGTTGTCGTTTGTTTCTGTGTATCATATTTGTTTTTCGTTCATTATTTTGTTCATAAATTAGGCCATTAGTTTTTCGGTTTTAATTGTTTTACATGTGTTATTTCGGGGCTTTTTATAGCTGACTTTGCTGTATGGGTTTTGCTCATTGTTGAAGGCCGTACGGTGACCTATAGTTGTTAATTTCTTTGTCATTTGGTCTCTTATGGAGAGTTGTCTCGTTGGCAATTATACCACATATTGTTATTTTTATATCATCCGTTTATATAATTGCAGGGAGGTTTCCTTTCTGTCGTGATTTCATTTCACCTTTTTTCAATTTACGTGTATACACTAATGAGATAGCTCGCTTATTTAGTGTTACTGTTCCGACTATTGCAGTATCCTCGGTAGTTAACTTATCATACAGAGTCGGAATATTTATCATTAGAATAAACAACCTAATCTCTGTTAAGTAAACAGTTGTTTCTAAGTAACCCTACAACTACATTGTGATAATATCTTGGGATTTTTCATCATCTTCTCCATTTAAATAAGGACCAAAATCTATACCGGTATCAATATAGAAATCATATACATATCTAAAACTCCTTGTCGGGTTTATTTGGAACACGTGGTTTAAAAGAAAACCTGCCTTTCCAAGAGACCATAATTTCATAAATTGTAACATATTGTTTTGGTTTGTACACAGTTCGAAATTTTTGTTTCAAGAGTTGCTTGAAAATGTTTATTTTGAAAACTGGGTCAAAATGAAATGTCCTCTTTTAACAGCTTGCTTATTGTCAACTTAATGTAAGAACAAAAACTGTTTAGATACCTATCCTTTAGAAAGTATTGTTGAAGAAAAGGGTTGACATTATTTTGTCTGTTGACAAGTATGCACGTATTATTGGTTTTTACATGAGTCCTATGCTCAGAGAAAGTCCGAAACATTGTTTTATTTAACTGGCCATTGTGTTCAACAAAAGTTTCATTCGAGCATTAGGTTTAACATTTTCATTATTTGGAAATCAAACGTTAAAGCGTCACTTGGCACATTAATTTCCATACCAGAAATTATTTGTTACGCCTTATCTTTCATTGACTGTAATATATTTGAGGTTAATTGAAAACCATTTATTAAGCGTCTTTTTTGTTTTATTTTATCGTTGGTTGCTTAATCATTGATTATAACCAATATCATTTTTATATCATTCACTGTTTGACCAGTTTTGCATTAATTTATTTAAGTATTTAAATACCGTCTTATATTCTTTAAACACTTCGTGGAATTTTGATTCGAAAAGTACATTAGTAAGTGAACCGTGTTAAGGCGTAAATGAGTCTTAGGGAACGATATAAATATGGTACGCTCAAATAATTCAGTTTAGAAAGGATATATTAACTGCATAGGGTAAGCCACTTTTCCTCACTAAAATCATGCAATTAATTAAAAAAATGTATTTCAAAAAATCTATTTATTATAAATGTAAGGCAGGGGATTTAAGCGACTAGATTCATAATTGTCAATTGTTTTTTGAAAACACAAATTATATCACATGTTGAACTTATAGTAGTTAGAGGGACTTTAAACTACTTTTTTAATACAATTAGACAGGCTATAAAGCGACTAGATTTATTCTTGTCAATAGTTTTTTTAAAACACAAATTAATTCAATTTGCTGTATTTAGTATCAACTTTCTTATATATAACTTTGAATAATCTTTTAAAATGTTCCCAAGGTAGTCAGTACAATGCTCAAGAACATAGTATAAAAAAATCTTCCCTCTTCTAAAAAGTGAATTAAATTATTATTGATATGTTATGTAACCTAGTTAATCTGTTGTAAACTACAATACTAGTAGAAAAGTTTATTTGAATCATAAATCGAGCGGATAAAAAACTTTTGTTTGACGACTTGTCGAGTATGTTGTACATACTAATCTTGTGTTCTAAATAAACGTTTTGTAGAGAACAAATTTATGCATTACAAAAATGGAATCGAACATAAACAATAATATTCTACGCATTTAATATTACCTAATTATTTCGTTATTTGCAGTTAAAAAATGCTACTATATATATACTTTGGTGCAGATTGTTGATCAAATCGTAAGCGTAAACATTTCCTCAAGAAAAAAAATCGTTTAAGTACATAATTTTTAATAAACGTTGCAGACATATATTTTTTATGACCATTTAGTGTTTCTGAATTAACAAAATCAACATATTAGTCTATTTGAATAAAATCAAAAACATAAACAATAAGACGGTTTTTTTCATTTACTAATTAATGGTTGCAATTGGTTTTAATAATGATATCACTTTGAATTAACCAACGTTATACAATATATTATGACTGTTTGGCTTATTGTGGTGCAGGACAGCTGTCTCATTGACTTTATAGCTCTTAAATTGGAACTAGTTTATTTACTTTGTACTCATTGAGTTAGACAAAATTGACTCAGTATTACATGTACATATTACTCAATAGAATACGCATACAACCTGAATTGAATAAGCTTATCATAAAGTTTTATATGGTCATACTTGGAGTACTTTTTGTATTTAAAAGCATTAAGTCGTGTTTGAATTCGAATAAGCAGTATGTGCTGCAAAAAATATCATACAATAAAGCATTTTTGGTTGCATAACATCTAATTTTATGCTGAAAGGACTTATGTGATTTGAATACTTTGGAACTCTTCATAAATACCAGGATTAAAATGTTGTACGCTAGACGCTCGTTTCGTCTACAAAAGACTTATAGTGTAATACCACCAAATCATAGTACGTCACATCCGGTTGCATATGAAAAAGGGTCGAAAAAGAATATTCCCTTGAATTTGAGAGTTGTAGGGAATTAATCCTACATTTCATTGCAGTAACAAATTTCTGGGTCATAAACATATATCTTGGGTGTTTTAAAGCACCCTTATTTTTTATTTGGTATTTCTATAGAATATTTTGGAAATTTGTGGTTACATGGTTGCTAAAGCTTGTACACAGGAAGAAAAGGGGAGAAAATTTGATTGGTTAACTTCCAGTGATGGTTTTTTTTTTCTTATTTGAATTGAAATGTTATGTGAAATTTTGTCTATAGTACTGGACAGGATAAAACTTTACTCATGCCAAGTATTTCTTTATTTGAAAAAAAGATAAATTCTGCACAATTTTTTGAAAAGTGCAAATTTGACAAAGACCAATAGGTGACAATCAATGGTGGTATTACACCTATTATGGGAAGCTGCACATGCACCTTTGACCTTGTATGTACTCTCATTTGTTAAAATTTCACGTTATTTAAGTGAAATATCACAAAATGAAGTATTCTTAGTGGACTGAGTGTCAGAAACACATTTTATGAGAAAATTGCCTTGAAATAGGACTCTACCATTATTATTAGTAGACAGAGCAAGCCATACTCAGTGTTTTGGGGAGTTTTGTCTTACTTTTTTTCTCCTTATGTCTTATATTTTGCTATAATAGTAAACTTTTTCGTAAGTAATACTTTAATAAATATATAGTTAGTAGTAAATGAAATTATTTTTGAAGCAGTAAAAACAAATTATTCACTAAAAGGGAAGCTTTTTATGTCCCTCTCTGGAACGCGGCGTAAATTTTAGTTTTACGTAAAGACTTACTGAAGCCTCCATGTAGTCGGTAAACTTTTATATGGATAATTTATTTAGCTTGAATACTTCAATTAATCATTTACTATCACATTTCTTTCATAAATGAGTGAAAGTTACCCCAAAATTTGTATTTATTGGCATAAAAAGTTGAAATTTTGAGGAAATGAGAGGTATAAATGGACATAAAGGGACTTTATAATGAAGACAAAGATGTCCATTAGTGGTATTTATCATCCAAGAGTCATATTTGGTATCATATTTAACTCTTTATAGGCATATGAGATATTTCTCGAATCGCTGTAGATGTCGTCTTACATTATACTAGATTTTCTCTGTTGAACTGATTATGACAAAACTTGACAGTAATGCTTGAAATAACCAGTATTTCAAAGGAAAAATATCACATTCAGTTTATTCAACAAAAAAGTCTTCTTTAGGTGTAATACCACCAAACCATAGTACGTCACATCCGGTTGCATACGAAAAAGGGTCGAAAAAAATATTCCCTTGAATTTGACAGTTGTAGGAAATTAATCCTACATTTAATTGCAGTAACAAATTTCTGAGTCATAAACATATATCTTGGGTGTTTCAAAGCACTCTTATTTTTTATTTGGTGTTTCTATAGAATAATTTGGAAACTTGTGGTTACATGGTTACTTAAGCTTGTACACAGGATGAAATAGGGTGAAAATTTGATTGGTTAACTTCCAGTGATGGTTGTTTTCTTATATGCAATGAAATGTTATGTGAAATTTTGTCTATAGTACTTGACAGGATAAAACTTTACTCATGCCAAGTATTTCTTTATTTGAAACAAAGATAAATTCTGCACAATTTTTTGAAAAGTGCAAATTTAACAAAGACTAATTGGTGACAATCAATGGTGGTATTACACCTTATGAAAGACGCACGAACCAAAAGTTAAAAAAAGCCGAGAGGATATAATTTACTTAACCGAACATAATTAGCGTTGATCAATTGATCTAGTAATTGGTTGAAATAATACTTTGTCAGGTCAAATTTCAGATCTTGTTTTCTGTAGCATCTATGAAATCAAATATGTATAAACTCGTTAAAGATTCAAGGCTTATAATTTTGTATGTACAACGGAATGACAAAATATACATAATTAGATAAGAACAATTATATCTTTATACAGAATTCCGTAATCATCAAATAAATAGGTCAAAGATGATTGACTTGGATTCCGAGAACGTTGATTCTGTTCAAGTTTAAATTTTGCGTTACCATAACTACAGTAGCTTTATATAGGTCGATTTCATTAAATAATAGATTGCTTTATATCTTTCTGCCAAGACGAAAGTAGATTTTAGGAATAACCTCTATCATGTTATCTTAAAAATAGAAAAATTACTAGTTGCCACGAAGGTTGTCTGCAAATACTGCAAGGGTTCAAGGTTGTCTCATACAAAGCAAAATAACGAAAATGAAAGCCTATGCAGGTGTAGGTCAGAATACGGCCGTCAATAATGAGCAATCTCATACTATAAAGTCAGCTGTAAAAGGCCCCGACAGTAGAATCTATGAAAAAAATCAAACAAAGAAAACAATGACCTGATTAAAGACAACACAATAAACGAAAAATAAATAGAACAGACAGCAACTAACGACAACCAATGAATTACATGCTCCTTACTTGAGACAAACACATATAGAATGAGACAGGGTTAAGCATGTTTGTGATCGCTCAATCCTCCTGCTTTTCTGTGGTTCAACAGCACAGCATACTAACACCCTGTAAAAACAGTTGGAAATGGTTAATGGGTTGACTCATCAGATTGTCATTAAGCACATAATCATCTAGCATACAGACAACAGACACAAAATACCGTTATTATAAGTGTACTCGCAGTTATTGAAAATGTCATCAAAGCCAATATCAACTAATAAATGAATCATGTTCTCCCAGACTAAAATATCAATCAGTTCACATCAAACGGATTTAGTGTGAAAACATCATTAACAAGTTGAGAAATGCATGACCTTGTGTAATGTAGGACCATAAGTGTTATGTTTAAAGTTATCAAAAACAAAATCAATATTAATACCGACAAAAACAATTTTCAAAGAGCTCACTACGGTGTTAAATTAATATCTATAAGAATAAGTTTATGCAAAGGGTCTCTGAGTTAACATGAATAATATCTTAACTTATGGGCTTTATGAAAAGCATTATTGTAACAATTAGGATGTGATATCCAGTTTTTTATAATAATTCACTTGTACAAACAAACATTAAGAATCTATATTCTCTATCTATGAAAATATGTAGTCAAATTTAAAGGTTATTTATGGTAACGAAATCGTTTACTTAAAAAAATGGCAGTTATACATAGAAAAATCTTAACCTCATCACAGACACAAGAATGGCAAACGAGTTGAGAAATATACAGACCGTAAGAAGGGGCAAAAGGAAAATCACCGAAAAAAAGGAAATAATTTACAACAGGATAAGAAAATTGTCTCTTTTGTCGTAAATTTTTGTTTTGATTTTCCTATGTGAAATTAAAATATTCAAATCTATAAAAGGACCATCTGTTCCTGTTATTATTAGATGTATTTAAAGTAATTTCATTTTTGTCAGTTACTGCGATATAATTTGCCATTTTGTTATTATCTAAAGCACAAATATCATCAAGGCAACAGTAAATGCTATTACATTTATCAATTCCTGAATTTGTCCATAAACTGTGGATTATAATAATATAGCAGCAAGTCTATTATTAAAAGTGAGCAATTGGTCCACATGGGATACCATATATCTCAATAAACTTTATTGCCGAAACGTACCTGTTTTAATGTTTTAAAGGAGATAATTGAGAGTTCCAGAAAGGATATCTACTAGCATATTTACCATTTCCTTCATTGATGATGATTTTGTCACGCAATAACCCACATTCAAATGAGTACTTGTGTTTCATAAATGGCAGTACACTTGAGATTCAGGATACTACTGAAACTAAAAGGCCTGCTTCATATCTTGATCTTATTTTCGATAATGACACAGAATGACGACTTTTCAATCGTCAAAATCACATTTCTGAGCAGTAACAAACCCGTAGTCCCATCGTATTTGGTTTACATATCTCGATTGAAACGTTGCGCCCTAAAATGTTCCCACTAACAAAAAACACTGCATCCACATAAATATGAGGCAGAACGACTGAAATCAACAGTATAAAAGTTTAACGGTCATTATCACGAGTGGTTGACATATACCATAAGTTTGTGTCTTAACTCACTAGCGACATGTTTTCTAGTCTTAGATCTTTAGATACCAGCGAAGTCGCATAATTCTGTTCCTGATATTGTGCCATTTTGCCTCTGTGTCGATTCGCATGGCGGTCGATGCATGCATAGCTTGAGACGTTTGCTCAATTATAATGTCTGAAATCAAACTGATTTACTGAACTTTATAAAGAGATAAATTCTTGTTCAGTCAGTTCTAGTTGAAACGGCCATTTCACTGAAAAATGTAATTATAGTGTTAATTAGATAAGACTTAAAGTCATAAATTCAAATTCCGTCATGTTGCTTATTATAATTGGCCTTACTAATTTGTTTTATTTCAGCTCAGTTTATCCGTAAGTTACAAAAACACTGTTTGGTGCAATCTGTACGGCAAATTTAAGAACTGTTATATTTCAGTGAAATTCCAGGCAAGACAATGTATCAGTATCTTTCACGTAAAGTTAAATGGTTAGTATGGTATACCAAATATAAAACGAATATTGGATCCAAGAAGCATTCAATAACAATGTCACTGGGTAGCTTTGAGAAGGTCAGCAAGTAGGAACTACCGATGTCTATATAAGTGCTTATGGAAATGGTGCCAAGGCTAATTTCGAACCACTTCAACTAAACCAGTCAGATTCAAATGGTCTTCGCAATTTCGATACAGTGTCTGATGTTGTACTACCATTCGACATTTCAACTCTAACATTACATAGACATGATAGAGACGGAGCCTGTACATCTAAATGGTTCGTTCGCTGGATCGAAATCGATAAAGGAAAACATCATCGATTTCCTTTCTTCAAATGGATGAAACAAAATACCTATTCAAGTCGGAGCGACACGCTACTGCCTCAAGACGAAGGCAGTCAGTATAATTCAGATATCAGAGGAATACATCTTGCTAATAAACGACTCCAGTATGAATTTGAACTGTACCAAGCTGATCCAAATGTACCTGTTATGGTAATGGGATATGTATTATACATATAGAACTTGTCTTTTTCTATAATTTCAACTATCAATTTCAACTATCATTATATTCAAAAATTTATCATAAGGCTACACGTCATGATTCATATATAAAATCATACTTTTAAGCATAAACACGTTCATATCAATTTTAACAGTATGAAAAAAAACAGCATTTTATCTGGAAACTCGAATCTATTGAACAATTAAAAACAAATCTCAATGAGGACTTTGAAAAATAATTTATAATAAAAAGCAACTGAAGAGAAGGAGTGTGAACAATGGCATCCTTAGGTTATTGCCATGAAGGACCTTTTCAAAAAGCTTTTAAAAATTTACAGGTTTATGCATGTACTTTTAAGTTCTGGATACATTTTGTAGAAATTAAATTTTAGCAAAATTATCAATGCTATACATTTGTACATACATCAATAAAGTATATCAAAACATTGCAATGTTGATGCATTTACATTTGAGCATGTGAAGTTTATTCTTAAATCACACGTATTTTAAAATAAAAACTTATATATTTGAATTCTAGAGAGTTCAGTCACAGTAGAAATTTTAACAAAGTCAGTTGAAAAATGATTGAAAATTAGTCTTTGAATAAATTATTTTTGAACGATGATACATCTATTGAAATATTCCTTTGCAGATTACGAAACTGCCAAAAGAAGAATTTTCGTGGTACTACTATTTGGTAAGTTATATATAGTTATTATATCTTTTTCTTTTGTTTCAAATTGAAACTTGGGTCAAAGAAAAGCAAAAACTGACCCAAATTACAAAACATACTAGCTGCAAATCATTGCTTATAGAAAACTGGAAGGAGAGCAGTGAAATGATGGTGCACAAATGAACAAATTTACGCATTCTGTGGTTTTATATTCAATGTTACTCAATTATACAAATGTTTAACTAAATGTAAGTATCCATGTATTCCGAAATGTCTTTTTGCTATATAAAACCAGATTGTCCATGGGAATCAGGTTATCCTTGATCTATGTTGAAGGCCGGACGGTGCCACATAATTAATTACATCTACGTCATTTTGGTCTCATGGGAATAGTCGTCTCATTGGCCCAAATCTTTATTTTCATAATGATAGACCTCAATGTTACCATCTGCCCCATGCCCAGTGCTTTGTCCTTACTATACTTAAATTTTGATTTTCATTGTAATTTGAAATGATTGAAAAGTGTTAGCACATGAATAACAAACATGAAAAGATGAATTTATAAAAAAAATACTAAACAGAACAACAGATTATATCAACCACCAAGACCCGACTCCTCCGAAAAAATAACAAATATACAAACAACGGCAAAACTGAATTTGTACATGCACAAAAATAAATATGGTCGAAATAATTTAACATAGGCATGATTCTCTCCCACTACCTACTGAGACCGTTTGTCGTAAGACTGACATTCACAATTAAGAACCTGCATAATGCAGCTAAAAGGATCACAAACTTGATCAATGAAAAAATGGCACATCATTTGGAAGGCGGGATCAACAATTATCTTGCTAATAGAAGAAGCTAGCTCAGGTAGCTGTTGCTGATGTTAAGATACTGCCGCTCAAGAAATATAATCAGACTCACCTTTTAATCTAATTTTAATCTGCAGTATTTGTGAAAGGCCAGTAAGTATTAGAAATCGTCAATGCTTTAATGTATAGTTCTATTCTCAACATTACAGTAAAAGACAGGGGGATAATATTTGTTTTACGGCATACGTTATATTTACAGATGAGATCCAGATAACGACTTTGAATTTGAGGAGGCCTTTAAAAGTGGAATGAATTGAAATCCTGTAAAAACAATGTTCGTTTAATGTATGATTTATTTTATTACAATCGACTACGCTATAATATTTTCAAGCAAACCGCACAAGTCGTGAAATGTCATAGAATGCGGAAAAAGTAACGATGTCATCCAAATAAGGAAGGCAAATTGTGATGTTGGATATGAAATCGTCTCTTTTATCGTATATCTTATATTTTGGGAAATTTCAGAAATTCAAATGTGACGTCACCCTTTTTTTTGCGTTGATCTCTTTGGCTAACTCGGCTGTGAATTTTTATGTGCTGGTTTATGTTTTTTTAAGTATCCGTTTTTATTCTGTAGTTAGTCACCACTTCGGTGTTATCATGTATATCTATTATATAGTAATTTTTTTATAAATTTACTGTTTGCAAAAGTGTGAATTATTCTAAATACTAAGGATTTTCTTATCCCAGACATATAACCTAAGCCGTATTTGGCACAACTTTTTGAAACTTTTGGTCCTCGATGCTCTTCAACTTTGTACTTGTTTTGGCTTTCGAACTTATCTGAGCGTCACTGGTTAGTCTATGTGGACAAAACGCACGTCTTGCGTATTTAATTTTAAACCTGGTACCTTTTGTTAGCTATTATTCGTATGTTTCTCTGTCCTATATGTTCTCCCATTTATTTGTATTGTAGTCCTGTCATGTAATGTTCTCATTTTAATGTTATATTTAACATTGCCATAAAAGTGGGAGGTTTGACTAGCCACAAAACCAGGTTCAACCCACCATTTTTTTTTTAAAATGTCCTGTACCAAGTCAGGAAAATGGCCATTGTTATATTATAGTTCGTTTCTGTGTGTGTTACATTTTAATGGTGTGTTTCTGTTGTGTCGTAGTTCTTCTCTTATATTTAATGTGTTTGCCTAAGTTTTAGTTTGCAACCCGGATTTGTTTTTTCTCAATCGAATTATGAATTTCGAACAGCGGTATACTACTGTTGCCTTTATTTAGTTCCAATTTTACCATTTTTAATCTACATACATAGGTATGTCTACAAATGGACAATATTTACTGTAAATTTTAATTTATTGTAAATCCGTTAAGCATCAACTAATCAAGATACACCAGTACTGTGAGGGTATTGATATGCAATAAAATATCTTTATTAACCAACTTACTACAAAATGTATAGAAATGTCCATGCTTTACAAACGGAAAATTTCGACAACTGATCATTATGAACGGAGAAATTGCTACAGCCAGTCATTACGAAGTCTCAGTCATGCATTAGAAAATCACACCCGTGCATTACGAAATCACAGCCAAGCATTATGAACAGATGAAACGGGACATCAATTAAATCAAAATGTCGTTTATTTCTTTAAATAAGTGTCATTTAAAAAAAGTTTAAATGATGTTCAGTGTTTTGTAACGTCTTGAAACGGAAATATTTCACAGCCTTTTCGAGTATTGTCGATTCCGTTGATCAATCATCATAATGCAGATGTTTCAAGAGTAATTAGAATAGTTGAACTGTCTGATTCATTCTTCCCAGCTACTTTATGTTTGCTAGATAATATGAATTGTAATAGCATAAAATTAAGTACATTTGTACTTGGATGAGAAATAAGCAATTACATCTGACAATGTTGACCAAAAATCCATTGTGAACGCGAAAAAACAAGTTAAGCTATGAATTTCTGTATCTTCTTCACGGTAAGTTTCTTACTCTAAGTTTAATCGAAGAATTAAAACCATTTGATAAAAGTGTTATGAACTGGCTGTTTCTGTATTGACCCTGTTATAGATTCTTGGTTAGCTGTATATGAACCCGAGACTCGAAGACTGTTCTTCAATGAAGTTGGTTAATAAAAGTATCAATATATGGACTTTTTCTTATTGGCCCTGTAACATGCTCTTGGTATAAATAATGGCCTCGGACAGCTGAAATGGCCCACGGCGTTGCCCCGAGGCCATTACAACCATCCTTGGCCATTATTTATACCTCGGGCATGTTACAGGGCCAATATGAAAAAGTCCATACATTAATACAATAGTAATGTTGACATTGGATGCATCAAAACGGTTAGATGAGACACACGTTAACTTATTACTGATGACAAATCGCTCAACCGGAATAAACTTGAACATTAACTGTAACTCCTTATACTAAAAATCTATACCGAACATCTAGTCAATTGCAACAGATTTTAAAATTCAATTCATTTCAAAACTTTATTTTCATACTTAGTTAAATTTTTATATCAGTTATATGATTTGTAAGAAGATAAATAAAAGTTAGTATAACAGACCGGTATAAATAACAAGACAAAAGCATTTTTAAACAAACATAGGTTATAGTTCATCCTGATTACTATTCCCAAACCTAAGTACAAACGACTGTTAGAAGGAAATTCATTCATTCGACCAGTTTCTGTGTTGATCGGCAGATAATAGATTTTGTATTTATTAAATCAAATTTCTATATTGTTTTTTTTTTTTTAAACAAAATACCAAAATAAATAAGAATAAAAAGGAACAACACTTTTTCCTTTGAATATTTAGTTTTTAATATCATTATCAAAATTTGACAAATAAATGAATATAAGTATATAATTCTAATTTCTGAATACATAGGTGTAATCTATTCCAATGTTCAAAACCGTTATAAGTTTGAGCAGTGTATGTCTTTCCAAAGCTTTCAACTGTATTGTTCTACATATGGTTCTAGGACAGTGCTCCGGCAATTTCTTGTTTTTGGACTATCAAACTTGAGGTCTAAAGCGTAACTGACGAAAGCTAATTCTAGAAACACGTGTGGTGCCATTTGCTCCAAAGTACCAATATCAAATGATTATTTGTGTAAGAAGTCTTTTATTTTGTATCAAATTATTTTCGTGGGTAAAATTGTTCGTAGATCCAAGAAATATTGTCACGATTGTATTCTGTGAATACTGGATTACATGGCTTTGACAGGTTCGCTGTGCAAGCAAACCAGGAACATATTATTTTGGAAAACAATGGTATCAATTTGTGGTTCACCCATAACAACTTATTTTTATCATTTTTTAAAATTAGTAACCCGCGAATACAAATATTGAATTCACATTATTAATTTACTTTTTAGTCTTTAGACATCAACATGCACCATTATTGATTTACAAATTTGTTGAAACTGTTGCGTTTACAATTATGTCAAGCAATTGAACATTCTCCGGCCTAGGTTAAGATGTAAGATAGATGACAATGGTGTTAAAATATTCAAGGTGTTTTAACTATTAATCTACAGACAAATTTAGTTTTTCCTGAAATTAAAATGACCGTATCTGCAGCAATCCTTAAAATTGGATCTACAGAGAGGTGGCCTTCATTTGCCAAAATGAACAAAGCTTACAGACTGTATTTCAAAAGACCAGCAGTAAGTAGAATTGAATATTATATAATCAAAATCATTTTGGTAGTAATGTTTGCTTGCATAACTTTTTTTGTTTCAAATTGAATACATTCGTTAATAGTTGAGCTGAATACCCACAAGACACAACCCTGTCTTTCATATAGGTTTGACAGTAGTGTGTTACAGTATAATATCAAACTCATTTTGGTAGTAACGCTTGATTGCGTAACTTATTATGGTTTCAAATTTAATACATTCGTCAACATTGGAGCTCAATACCCACAAGAGACAATCCTGTCTTCAATATAGATTTGGCAGTAGTGTGTTACGGTAGTAGTTGGACTTCTTTAAACATACTGTATAAAAATAGGAGATATGTTATTATTGCCAATGAAACAACTATCCGAAAAAGACAAACATCACGTGGTTGTAACCAAATATACTCATCCAATATTAAATTATCAATCATTATACATATATGTACGAAGGATTTTGTGTAAAAAAAAGTCATTAACAGTCCGAACAAAACCATGATCATGTGCGATGTCACAATATAAATTCATTGTATTGAAAGAATGAACATTAATAACTACATAGCAGTTCATATTAAGTTATGTTTGATTTATTAAAACACAATCAATGTTAGTACAAACAAAGTAAATATTAAAAGATCTTAAAACATTTTTCAAGTATAAGTTAATTCAATTATCAAGGGAGCGAAAATCGGCTCTTTTGACTATGATTTTAGTAGAGTTTCCGGTTTGAAAATGATTATTTAATGAGTATTTTGATTGTACTTTATTAATTAACAGGTTCTAAAATATATATCACGAATACATGTATCTATGAATTAAAAATATGCAATCGCATTTTTTTTTCAGGGCATGGACCACTGGGACAATGATATGCATTTCGCTCAGCAGAGACTTAATCAATGCAACTGGTCATTAATAGAGCGAGTAGTCAGCAAAGATGTTCTAGGGAAAATGTAAGATATATCTATTCAATAAGTTTAACTTAGATATTGTCATAAGATATCTATAAATTAACCTTCATGCTTTACTTTCGTTTTATTATCTGATTTTATCATAACTCGCCTTATTCTCGACAAAACATGATTGTATTGTTAAAGAGGGCATACATTTCAGTGCAAACGACAATTTTTTCCTAGAACGACATATTTCGGATGCAACTTATAAGGCAATTGGGAGCATTGAACAAAACTAACATATATCAAAATGTAATCGTTCCTAATAAATAATTGACAATGTTAAAGTTACATCTGACTGGTGGTGTTGCAACACAGCTTTAAGGCATAATTGAGAACCACTTTGAATCGTTTACGAATATTGTGTCAGACAACACTGGCTATAAAGTGAAAAGTACCCACTTACAATCATTGTTAATTACACCGTATTAATGAATGAATAAATTAATTTAATAGATTTGCAAATGCACGGCATATGGTTTTCTTTTAATATCTAATTCAGATATACAGAACGTTGCTGGAAAAAGTAACAATGATGTGGCCTTTTTACAATTACCAAAATGATGATCCCAGTATATATGTTACAGTGAATTTGTAGATTAGGGATTATGTATAATCACTGGTTACTTCAGTGATTATAATTATATAATTACTACAATTTTTAGGAATAATACATAATCACTAGAAAAAATGTTAGGATATACATAATACGAAATCCTTGTACGTTAACTTTTATTCCCTTTTTTGTACGGCAAATTACATGATCTGTGAATTTATGCTGGTGTTATTAATTTCAATTCAAAAAACTTAATTGTTTATGAGTTAATGTGGTTTAACACAGTTAAAGGAATATCACCAGACAAAACTGTTCACTTTAATAAGATTTGATAAATGGACAGGGAACGAAAACTGTCCACTTAAACCATATAAATAGCTTTGAAATGATTTATTTGTCTGTTTTTGATTTATTTGTACCAAACAGAGAATCTTTGTATTATTGATAATCCCTGAAAAAATTCAACGGAATTTGTAGAATAATTTTTAAAATTTTCAGTGATTATGTAGAATCACTGGACATTTACCGGGATTATATATAATCACTAATGATTTTAGTCTTTTTACAAAATCCCTGATTATACAAATTCACTGTAACATATACATTTAATCGTAAAGCTTGTGGTTATAATTTGTCAGCTTTTGATTTTTCTTCAAACTTTTATAGTTTGTATTTCAAAATTTATCAAACATGTTTGTCAAAGGTGATATAGCAACATTATTTGATTCCATGTTATTAAATGTGGGTAAAAAGTACGTTTTCAAAACAGAAAAAAACCTACGTTTTACTTTTATTATTATTATCATTACTTTCTATTTTGAAATAACTAACCCGTACATTTTAAAGTGCACACGAAGATATAATTCGCCTCTCTTTTGCAATGTAAGCATTTTAAGCTGATTGACATTCTTGACAATAGTACTACACATGAACTTTATGAATTTTATGAACGTTTTGTTGCCTTATATTCATAGGATGACTATTGATGAAAATCGGTTGAAACAGCTTATGAATGCTGAAATCAGCGACATGATTTCTGAAAATAGACTGTTCATCACCAACCTCAGATTAACAGAGGACTTAAAAGTAATATTAAAATTGTTGATAATAGATACACTAAACTTAATTCCTACAAATAAAATGATGTTTAAGCTAAACATCAACGAGACAGTTTTCTTACACAAATTCCCAAAGGCAAATACAAGGCAAATTAAGTCTTCGGCAACATACAGTCTTCTATTTATTTGTCAAATTTGAAATCTTCCAGAATCGTAAATAGCTGTGAAATATAAGATTTATTGACGATCTTCAGTTTTCAGCACATTAAAAAAATATATACACACACAAACACTCTCATTAAGATAGGTGTATTCGAAAATAAAACTTGTTGAATAATAAGATTTTTTTCAGATTCCTAGTCCAGTAGTTTTATTCCAACAGACAGCAGACTCTGGTTTTCTTCCTGTAGCTATTCAACTGAATCAACCTTGTGATAATAAAAGTAAACCCAATACTGTAAGTAATCAGTATCCAGAAAAAAAACGCAGTGCCTGTCTAATGATAAATCCACATTGCAAAAATAAGGAATACCTACGAAAAGTATATAACGAAGTATAGAAAGTTACTTATTGTGTACATAGTTAGTCGAAATTTTTAAAGGTTAAAAACTGCAGCTACAACCACCTCTGACAATGTTGATCTATCATGGTTTCAAAACAATAGGTTATAAATACATGTAAGATTGTAAATACAACAAATGGGCACAATATTTATTGAACGTATTGTAACTTGATATGGTGAAACTTTCGTTGTAACATCTTTGTATTTTTCCTCTTTAAACTTAAAAAGTCATCGTGACAGTTCAAACAAATAAGCAGAAGAATCCTACAGAAGCGTATTAGGGACATAGGGAAATAATTGTTCTTTTTAAATGTTGTTTTAAATCTTGAAATGTCGACCTTTACTCTCGAAATTATCAACTTGTATATTGCCTATTGGTATTATCAACTTTGATTTTGATATTATTATCTTTGTCAAATTAAATCTTGATATCATCAACTTTAATCTTGGTGTTATGGACCTTAATCTTGATATTATCAACCTTATCCTTGATATCATGAACTTAAATCTCGGTATTATCAAGTAGAATCTCGAAATTCTCGACTCTTATCTTGTAAATTCCGACTTAAATCTTGAAATTATCAACGTTAATCTCAAGTTATCCACTTTAATCAAGGAAAGATCGACTGGAATGTAGAAAATTTCAACTGTTGATTAATACGGTACCTAATGGACTCCAATATGTATACTAAAAGGTGGGAATTTCAGAGATTAGAGTCAATAATTCATAGATCTAAGCTCATATTTCGAGATATAAATTGATAATATCATGATTAAAGTCAATAATTCCGAAATTAAAATTGATATTCCGAAATTAAAGTTGACATTTTGAGAAAGAAAAATAAATCTTTGTCCCTTATTCGCTTCCGTAGAATCCAACACATCATTGGTATTTTGTTTTAATCAAAGGAAACCGCTTCGGTTTTTTCATGGTAGTGTGCTCGTCTTGAGTGCAGGAGATCAATCTCCGACATGGTCAAACCAAAGACTTTATAGTTGCTATTTGCTGTCTCTCTACTAAGCATGTGGCTTTCAGGTTTAAGAGCAAAGACGGGTTGCCTAAGATTCAGAATAATGTGTCCGGTTGGGCTGATATGTTTTCTTACTCTTTGAACTAGTACGTTAAAATCCAGCACAACGTGTTAGTCAAGTACAAAGTAGAGTACACGCTTATATCAAATTACAAGGTTCTCGTCATGAACTTGGATCTATTTTTTTACTGGACACTGAAAGCCATCTATCGTCATCATTTAATCAAAGAGGAACACATGTCCTCTTATTGAAATTACATTTTAATAATAAAGTTAATGTTTATACATATTTCAGTAATGTACAGTGAATTGTATCGGTGTAGGTTGTTATCGCTTTTACTAAAATATGTCAAAGAATTACATCAATATGTAGTCAAGATATACTTTATTACAAGTATGTAGGGAAAAATAAATTAGCCTGATTTTTATAAAAAAAAAACAAATAATTTTCTTATACTAGAATTGGAATTCAAATGACAGCACATTCATTGCAGAAATGAACCTGTGAAATATGCTGTTAGAAAAACATAATTGATAATGATGACGGATTATTATTAAAATTAAATAGATGGAAAAACAGGGGGAAAATAAACACATTTTACATGTTTTATGTGTTTTGACTAGGCAACACTAGTTTACCGTTGTTTAAATTTCGTAAATCGATTTAGAAAAGAAAAGCATTGTAACAAGCAACAACCGAGGGAAAACCACGAACCCCATTATTTGCGAGACCAGCTGAGTGGATAGGAGAAACGTCTCCTGTTTTGTATACATCAGCTGCCATGGGAATCAGTACTCAGTCAAAATGTCACAATCGATAATTTGAATATACAATATAAGATTAAGGTATATGTTAATTCCGAATATGTCCTCTGTGAATCTGTTATGTTTATTCACATGACCTCTATTCGGGACTTTTTTTGTAAGGAAACCTTTTTTTTTTCATATGAAAGCAATAAATTGGAATAAGTATTATAAAGCTCAGATTTAGGCAGTAGGGAAACTAAAATTATTGTAACTTTATTTAAAGGGATTAGTCATTATTATTTACCAAAAAGAAGCATTCTGATTTAAACAGAAATTTCTTAAACGGACACTCTCAATATGCTTTAATTTCTTGATTGACAACATACATGTATGTGTTACGTTTGGGGGACGTTTCTTTTCAACAGACTGTCGGAGTGCATGTTGAACTCATCGCTGCAATCGAATTTGAAATAAACAGCTACAGATAAGGCTGTCAAATATCTTGACAATGAGAGTCACTTGGGAACAAAACTTATTTTTACAGGCGCCTTCGTGAGTTGATTGACCGTAATAGAATATCTAGCCGTGATTTTTGCGGTCTCCCTTGGACTTTTTTTAACAAAGATTTGATTCTCCCGCATTTCGTTTGAACAAATGTTTTAACTTCTACATTTTTACCCAAGGTATTTTATCCAGACGATTCAAATACTTGGAAGCTAGCTAAGATGTGGGCAAATTTAGCAGATGCCTCGATTTATCTAGGAGTTGTCCATTTAGGTAAGTATGCTTATGACAGTTCTTTTTACGCACTTTTTAGATTAATGGAAACAATCAGTTCATATATTTTGGTTTAAAAATACAAACATTTAATTTGATGAGAATTATTTCGGCACTCTGCATGCTCTGTATATTTTTTTGTTAATCTTTGACAAGAACACACATATACATGTTTATTTCTATTTCCAATCCCCAATAATCAAACGTTTAACTTGAATACATGACTTACATTTATTTGGTCACCAGTGTCTGAGTAGAAAGTTGATGCACCAGGGTTATTTCTTAGAACGTCTCGTCCTTTTTCTAAAATACTTCATCGGAAGATACCAAAACCTTAATGACAAATATTCCGTATCAACTTCAAAAGTAATACATGATGGTGATGGTCTTGAAGTATAGATTCTAAGTACTGACATTGTTTATCATCTTAACTACGGGTTAAAGATTTTATAACACAATGTTAGAACATATACGCAACAATAATTATTAATGATACTATGACATTAAATTACACTTTTGATATTTCATCTATATTGTGAGTCATGATGATCAGTTGTGGTTACTTTTGGGGGTTTATAAAACGCTACACATAGTTAAGTTCCGTCAGTAAGTGTAAAAAATTGTTGGAGAATTTCGATATTTTCTATTCATTTACATCTTTAACATGTTTAATTGACTAGGGTCGTATTGGACCCTGATATATTGTATTCATATATAATCCTGCTGGCCACGTTATTACTGGTGACCTAAACTTTGTCAATAACACTTCTCTGCGAAATGTGTTATCCAAAGGCCCGAAATATGGTGAGCCTAAATCCATCAATTGGAAACACAACTTCACAATACTGATGAATTCAGTCGAGGATTATGCCAGGCAATGGATTAAACGCGAGAAAGAAGACGTAGATACTCTTTCCGAATGGATTATGGCTGTGAAGTCGTTAATACAAATTAAGAATTAAGAAACTGAATGGGTCTATTAATACCCATGCTACATCAATCTTTAAAGACCCAAATGTTGCTAACCACTTGTATTACGTTCTATGTTCCTTTAAAATTTCAACTATAGATGAAGAACTTGATCTTCCATCACTGTATAGGATACCTAAATAATACAAACAACGGTATATTAGTGGGTCTTTCAAGTGCTCCACGAAACCTCTTTCTAAATTATTAACATCAATTTCATCAGCTATCGAAGCCGGGCTTCAAAGTTATTGTGAAACTACCTATTCTAGAGATGGCTTGAATCAGATGTTGGTATTAAAAAATTCCAAAGATCTTTTAGAGTACATACAATCTAAGTCTCTTTCATCTTGCAATAGTATTAAAACATTTGACTTTTCTACACTTTACACAAGCATTCCCCATTCCAAACTAAAAGACAAATTGAGTCGGTCTTGTTTTGTTTCATAAAAAAGAATGGCCAACGTAGATACAAGTATCTGGTCTTAGGAAGGGATAAATCTTACTTTGTAAAAACTCCCTCTGATTCTAACAAAAAATTCTATGAAACTGACATTATCAAGATGCTTGATTTCTTGATTGACAACATATTTTTTATGTTTGAAGGCGTGTTTTTCGACAAACAATCGGCATTCCTGTGCCACTCTCCTTGCAGACTTGTTCCGTTATTCATATGAGGCTGACTTCATACAGGAACTTCTTAGGAAGAAAGAAAAGAAGTGAGCAGTATCCTTTAACTTTACTTTCCGCTACAAAGATGATGTTCTCTCACTAAATAATTCAAAATTTTGTGACTATGTTGAACGCATCTATCCAATCGAACTTGAGATAAAGGATACAACAGATACAATTAGGTCTGCCTCATATCTTGACTAACATCTAGAAATTTACAATGAGGGTCGGTTGAAAACAAAACGTTATGACAAAAGAGATGATTTTAACTTCCCAATTGTGAACCTGCCATTTTTATGTAGCAACATTCAAGCAGCGCCTGCATACGGAGTATATATCTCCCAGTTGATACGATACTCCAGAGATGTATTTCCTATCATGATTACCTTGATAGAGGGTTGCTGCTCACAATGAAGCTATTAAACCAAGAGTTCCAAGTGGTGAAGTTGAAATCATCCCTTCGTACATTTTACGGACGCCATCACGAGTTGCTTGGCCGTTACAGAATATCCGTTTCACAAATGATAGCGGATATGTTCCTAATGTCGTAACTACAATCCCGTCCCCTTTTCCCGAATGTGACCTACCGAATTAGACTGATAACCGGGTTTGTACTAACATGAGCAACACGACGGGTGTAACATGTGGAGCAGGATCTGCTTACCTTTTCGGAGCATCTGAGATCATCCCCAGTTTTTGGTGGGGTTCGTGTTGCTCAGTTTTTAGTTTTCGATGTTGTGTTTTGTGTACTATTGTATATAGATATCGGAAGATGTGGTATGAGTGCCAATGAGACAACTCTTGATCCAAGTTGTCTGTTTGTCTTTTTCTTTTTAGCCATGGCGTTGTCAGTTTATTTTCGACTTATGAGTTCGAATGTCCCTTTGGTATCATTCGCCCCTCTTTTAAATTTTTTTCTGGCAATTTTACAATGTATATAATTTTCATATTTGATTGTTTAACCAGACAGAAATCAGTTTACGGTTATATGAATTATATGCAGTATATTTATCTGGCATGGGCGAACAATAAGAAAACTTTGATCTGCGATCAAGCAAATTATGATCATGAAATATGTAATCAGAGTCAGAAATATATTAATATCTATTAACCACATTGACAAAAACGCATCAAAATTACCAGGCTTATAATGTATCACGCTAAACGCACGTTTCGTCTCCATAAGACTTATCTGTGGTCGAATCAAAATAGTTGGAAGGCCCAATCAAACAATATGGTGAAGAGCACTGAAAGCCAAAACATCTGAAACACGATATAATCCTAAACATATATTGGGTTATATCCCTTTTTTTTTTCCTTGCCTTGTATTAATAGGTAGAAACAGCTCATATCAAGGTTTTGTTTAGAGTTCTATTAAGTTGAGTCGATCTTATAGATTCTGCTTTAATACATTTCTTATGCTCAAGTAATTCAGCTTTGGGACATTCTAAAAACAGGATATAGAGATCTTATCAAACCAGAAGCAGACTTTAAACACAGTACTTTTAAATCAAGTAGTTTTGCTTAGGTATTGGATGAAAGACTGAGCATGAACAATTTATATATACTAACTTCAATTAATATACCAATTTCCCTTTTCTTAAGGACATTTGATTTCTGCAGCTGACCACCAATTATAAAGGTTATATATTTCAACCTATGTCTGCTTAAGATTTTTTTCTTTAACTTGATATTAATTCAAATATATTTCAGGGCTTACTCACTTATTGATGGAAAGCGTCGACATTTGTTTAAACCGACATCTTTCTACAAGACACCCAATATACAAATTGCTGGCTCCACATTTTTACTTTAATCTATTGATCAACAAGTAAGTGTCAAAATAAATTTTTAAAAATGGTATTAATAGCAAATATAACTTGCCAGAAAATAGTCATTGAATCTGATATTCTTTTTTCTGTTAATTTAAATCTTTATGAAAAATTTCTTATGGGATGGGATCTATTTTCAAATAAAAACCAGCTTAACACTTTACCATATAGGACTTTAATTTTCTGAACAATATTGTGTTATTTCAATTTTACCTCTTATATACAATTTTAAGTAATACCATATATGTATATAAAGGATAATGAATTCAATATTTATTTTCCCATTATATCTTCAAAATTGTCACAAATTTTACTGATTTTCAAAATTGATAAGACATGTATATTATGTGCATTTGAATCTTTATATGGTTATCCCTGGTTTTTATTCCGCAGTTTTTATTCAGAATTCATGAAGCATGCATAAAATATTTATTTTGTTTTCGCTGCAGTACAGCACGCGACAAGTTGTTGGGTCCTGGTGAATACATTGACAAAACAATGACAATTCAGACGGAAGGAGTTGTATGTATGCTTGGAAAAAAGTAGGTATTTCGTATTAATTCTAGTAGTAAAATGACAACTAGAAACATTCAAATAAAAACTGAGATTTTTAATTATTATTCGAGGGGTACTAATTTCTGTAAATATCATAGCTATAAGCTTACCAAGAAATAAAGCATCCGCCTAAAAATCATATTTCATTGACTTTTGAAAGTAATATTTGGATTTAAGCATATACTTGCAGTAGGTGTTCATGTCATACAAACATAGATTTGTGTCTGCAAGACGAATGCCCTCATTCCGTCATATTTTTCTAATTTATGTAATAGCAACCCAACTCACATATTATTAAAAGCACCGCATACCATATTAATCCTTACTATCCTTACACACTATTCGTGTACTCCGTTTAAACCACAAATTTTATTAATTTAAAAAATAATGTAAATATGAATATCTCTATAGAAAATGTAACAATAAATAACCATTTTACGATGCAAATGTATAATAATTCTTGATTTTTGATAATATTTTATGAGCTAAGTACTTTGAAATCGAAATATGCATTATATCAAAATTGATACGAAATGAAAGCAATCGACGATCAAATTTTTTGGAAGAAGCGCCTCAGATTTTTATGCAACATGTGAAGGTCACCTACTTCAATTGCTTATAAATATACAAAACGCAGCATTCAATTTTAAAATTAATCAATTTGGATTCTAAACGGAGTCGCGTGATCTTGAGGTCATATGAACATAGACATTTAAAATACTTTTTTTCTATTATTTATCATTTGCTGTTGTGGACAAAAGTAATGACTGTTTGTTGACTGTATTTTTGTGATTTTACTTTTTTGTGCTTTTTTGTTAAATATTTGTTTGTTTTGAGATTGTGTCACAGTGATGACTGCTGTACCCATATTGTGACTATTTTACCTAGTATGTCTGTTTTGTTCACGCATCGTTGTAAATATAACGGTATTTGATGCGACTGTCATACAAGTGAGAGGTTTAGCGCTATAAAACCAGGTTCAATCCACCATTTTCTACATTTGAAAATGCCTGTACCACGTCAGGAATATGACAGTTGTTGTCCATTCGTTTGATGTGTTTTATCATTTGATTTTGCCATTTGATTAGGGACTTTCCGTTTTGAATTTTCCTCGGGGTTCAGTATTTTTGTGATTTTACTTTTTTCTTACAAATGTATTACTTTCTTGTTATAGATTGAAGGATTGGAGAATGGATATTGATGGCACGCTACCAGCAGATCTCAGAAAAAGAGGTGTAAGTATAATAGGATCAATATTACTTTTAACATAAACGAAAGTTAATATTATAGGTAAATAGTTTATATTTTGTTTGCTTGCATGTACAATTTTAAAAGTTAATACATAAGTAGAGTTATTTGAAAAAAGCAAAACCTCAATGTGTACAAATAAAAATAACATTCAACCAAGTTTAACATACTGTTGTAATGCTTGATTTTCTTGTTATCTATTTCATCCCAAGCTATGAAGTATACGAGGATATTAATTTGTTTACCCGTCTGTCTGTCTGACAGTCAGTCAGTCGATCTATTAGTCAGTTATTTCTATTTCCGAATGGTAGCTAAGTACTTTTTATAGAATTGCAACCTAAATTTGGTATATGGTTCCATATAATGAGAGGAAGATCCCTTTATAATTTGAGGTCACAAAGTCAGATGTCAAGGTTAACGATACCAAAAAATGTCTAAACTTTGTGCAAAAAAGGAGGCCAAAGGTCACTGGGTGCTTAATCGAAAAGTATATAATTATGATATCATAACCTCACGTACATATTGTGTCGAAATTCGAAAAAGATACCTATTAAGCATGAGGTCAACACACCAAAGGTCAACATCTTTGTTACTACAAACAGACAGAACTGTGTGCAGAAAAGTAGTTTTCGGACGATAAATCAAATAATACATAAGCAAACTTGCCTAGTTATACGGTCACATATAATGAGAAAAATACTCTTTTTGGATTCGAGCATCACTGATGAATATTTTGTAGACTAAAAGCACGTCTGGGATACACAATTTCAATCATCAAATCTATGATGAGTTTATCCTCAATAATTTTGACGTCACTATGTCTAAGGTTACTGTCAAAGTTACTTATAACGAATCAAATATGTGCAGACAAGTTTTTTCTGGTGCTAGATCAAATGGAATTGCAATTTTACTGGGAAATATGGTCACATCTATTGAGAGATAAGATCCTTTTTGGAGGTCACAATATCTAAAGGCAAGGTTTTTTTATGAAAAGAATAAGTCACAGTTAGTGCAACGCGTGGTTTCTAGATGTTAATATTGTATTGCAACCTTTTTGGGATATGTAGTTACACATAATGATAAAGAAGCAGAAGAGGAAGCTCCCTGTTGATTTTTAAATCATTTTGTATAAGAGTTAATGTCATTGGAACTAAACTGGATTCGTGTAAGACAATATTGTTGTATTAATCATTAATTATATGGGGTATGCAAGATTGCTCACTAAAGGTTTTTTTATTTGCATGTTATCTGAACAAAACACCTCTTCTGACGAGATTCCCGGTTTTGGCAGGCACATTGATATATACATGTTTACTTATTTCTTTGAGATCTCAAATCTTATTTACCATTTAACTTTGATTAGTTATTAACAAAAGATACATAATGTATGAAAAAGAAAAACACGCACACACATATATATATACACAGAGTCTGTAAATTGCTTCCAATAGAACAAGACTCAATTAATCAACAACAACAGATAACTTATAACGGTTACCTTAATCAATAAGTCTATTAAGTCAAAGAGGATAAAAGAGTAGTTCTTTTACGCTTTAGCATTTAATGTAAGTCTACCAATCATACTGTATGTACGTTGACATCAACTTTTTAACAATTTTAATCAATTGCTGATGTTTTTATTCCTACTGCTAAAATATTTTAGTTATGTTTTGTGGATGTCAGTCTGTGTCGAAGTGTGTTTAAGTTTATCGTTGCCGATTTTGGCTTTTTTACATATGAGTGAATGGATGGATTGGGAATAGGTCAATGTGACGGATTTCCATTTTATATTGTAATGATGTCGTTATACGTGCATAGATACTCTAAATCAATTCTTTTTGTAATATAAGGGATCTTTCAAACGTGAATTAAGTCAGGCATATTGATCGCAGCATATTTGCAACATATATGTTTATATGTTTAAACATTTTGAAAATGATTTTCTATCTAAAAAAAAATAGGAAATGTATTTTAGAGAAGCGTATCCATCGGACAACAAAAATATTTGAATACCACATTTAGGTATGGCCTCGATTTTAATATTTTTCTCTGTGTGTTCTCACGTTACACAGGAAATTTAATAAATCAAATAACAGTATCTACTTAACTTTCTACACACATATAAAATACGTATAACTTTTCACCTGATTATATATATTAGACACCCTGCCTATTAAGTATTAGAAGATATTATTTTAAACGTAATTACAGCTTTTATGCCCTGACGAAAATGGAAATGAAAAGGTCAACATACCTGGGTTTTTCTTCGCAGAAGATGGTTTGAAAATTTACCATGCTGTCAGAGAGTATGTAGATGACTATGTTAAATACTATTATACCGGGGAAGATGACAATGGTAAGTAATTCAAAATTTAAAAAAAAAATACAACATTCATGCGTACAACAGATTAAACAAATGATTTATTTTGATTTAAATCTAGTGCCAAAGATGGTAGTATATACTTTGTTTCCTTAAGCCAACTTTCCCTGACCAGTAGATCTACCTTGAGATCAAAGTGATCAAAATAATTAAGAAAACATGGCAATCGAAAGCATTCCGAAGAATGATATCGTAATTGTCAGAAACAACGAAAATACAAAAAAAGGTCTACGAACCTCTACACCGAAAACTATGGATTTGTAACTCAAACCATACAAAACAAATTGAATTAATGAGAGTATTTCAGAGTCGATTGCAGTTCATGTCGAACTTATTTCACTCGTTGAATAACTCATGACATATATTAAATGGCAGTTATCATGTTTATAAGTAAAAACTAGCAAAACCAAGATAATGGAAACTTCCTTAGCTTTGCCACATATTACTCATATTCATATTCAGAAGTATCATCCGCAATGATTTTGTAGTAAAATGCTCTTTTTTGTTCATAGATCGTTTTCATAAAAATTCTACGACCATGTTCTGGTGTAGCAGATGCATGGACTCATCGGCCTAGTGGGCAACATACCCCAAAATAGTTCATACTAATTAAAACTTTGTAATCCTCATAATAAAACTGCATAATAACTTGCGATAAAAAAGGCGAATGTTACCAAAGAAACAATCATTACTTCTATGTCAAAGAAAAGCATTGTATCATGTTGAAATAAATGAGAAAACAATCCGCCAGTGTTCAAATGAAGTGGATGTAAGCATTTCGTTTGAAAAAAAGGCGAATGTTACCAAAGAGACAACTATTATTCAATGTCGAAGAAAAACAGCGAATCATGTTGACTTTATTCATTAAAGGTGTTCGTGTAACAACTGTTAATGTACTGTATTTCAATAGCTCTGCTGGGTTCAAAGTCGTACAATTTATTAAAACGTGTATTAACATGATTAACAAACGTGAAAACTCATGCTTATGGATTGTTTAATTTCAGATACAACAAATAGATTGTTAAAGGACAGTGAAATACAGTCTTTTTGTAGAGTATTAATGAAACCGCGTGCAGCTGAGAATGGAGGTATCGGAATTAATGTGAGTTTACTACATTTCTACATTTGTTTAAGATTTATAATCTTTTTTCAAAATGTTATTGAATGAGGCATTGGGTTATTTTTCTCTTCTTTCTTTGTTTTCTTGCCACATATTGAATAATCTTGTAATAACGCTCACCATTTTTGTAATGGAAAAGGAAAGATATGGTGTAACAATATCCATGACACAAAATTAATAGCCGCACATGAAACAACAAATTAATGGATCTGCTCTTCTTCCTTTAAGAGATTATAAATATCGAAGACCTTATATCGAAGATAGTGCCCGAAATTTCACGCTTTACCAAATACTGTGCAGTTATCTAATTTCATCTCTAAATTAGACTGTTTGACACTTAATTTGTCACTTACCAATTTTCCAAAATGAAAAACCTTTTCTATTTTCCATATAATTTACAGATTTTTAGGTCATAACAATATACAGATTGAAATACATTTTATTCTTATTATCACAGTTTTTATTTTTGTTATTTTTTATTCTTTTCCATGACTTTTAAAGGTAAAGAAAATCCCTCAGGATTCATATTTTTGTATTCTACCATTTAAAGATGACATTAGTTTTAAATGAGCAATATGAATCTGCAGGTTCTTCACACAAATTCAATAACTTAGATGTGTTTAAATTTTTGATGAGAACCCTTTGTTGTCATGATGTGTTTAAAAAGTCTTCGAGTATTAAATGTATTTTATATAGACCTAAGGTGTATCAAATACTTTATTTTACAGGGTGTTCCAAGTACAGATGGCAGATTTATGGAAATTGACCAACTTACTGATACCTTAACATCAATTATATTCATATGTACAGTTATGCACGCAGCTACGAATTTTCCACAGTATGATGAATATGGATTCCCGCCAAATTATACAACAACTCTACACAAAGACCCACCTACTAATGATGTATTACATCTTTTATATTAGTACATATATCATAAACCTACCATAACACGTTCACTCTTGATTGGTTGAATGATTGATTGTTTTACCGCCACTTTCAGCACTATTGTGCTACAGCCTCAGGCTAGTGATACAGTAGTTGGAATACTCGGACCACTCGGCCACCGATGTCTCACATTTACTCTTTGAAAGTCTAAATAACTATGTAATACAAAGAATACAATGGATTTTACTTTTCAATTATCTGTTATTTTTCCAAAGGAAGGACAACTTTTATTCAACGAACTATGAACATGAAAATAACAAAAGTATTTTTAATGGCATTACCTTTACACATTTATATATTTGTGATGAAATAACATTTTTAGTGTATACTAGTATACTAGTATTGTATAATTTTTTTTCAGAAAAAGTTATCTGAACAAGATTTATTAGATTGTCTTCCATCAGTCAAACAAACGTTCGACATCATGAAGATATTCACACTTCTCAGTCAAGAAACAACACTACCGCTCGGACAATTTGAGGTTCAATATATAGAAGATCAAGGTGCACTCGAAATTCTTGAAAAGTAAGAAACGTGTTATAACGTCCTGTAAGGCTTTTTAAAGTTTCTTGCATTTGCCAATTAGCGAGGCCTTTAATGCTCAAATCTTTAATTTTGTTTATTCATCATACATAATTATACATTTATTTTTGTTTCTTTTAATACGCAATACTTTGTCCTCCATACTTGATTTTTTTAAATTTGGCGTGGTGTTTATTTTTAGAGTTAAAGATTATCGATGGTTTTCAAACGAGAGGGTGTTTCTTATCTACAATCTCATCGAAGGGCAATAGCTCTGAGATGAGATGTGGCCGAGAAACATCATCGAGTTTGAAAGACCATTGATAATCAGTCTGTTTATCGCTAGTTTGCCTATGACGTCGTTGATGTTTACATTGACAACGGCAAGTGCGCCCTTAGTTTCTAGCGATAATTTTCTATCTCAAGCGAGTGGCATGATATGAAAAAATATCACAAAAAAAGATCAAAGGAAAAATACACAAAATAGCGATAATGTAGAGTATCAAAGGTTTAAAAAAAATATTAAAAATATTCAATTTCGCACATGCAGGTCCAATTGTACTGCGTACATTGTATGACGTCAAAGTTTTGATAGTTTGATTTATATTTATAAACCTGTTGTAGTAAGGTTTCTTTTAAAGTCCATTGGCCAATAATACAAAGATGTTAAGGATGAAGCCACACTATGAATGCACTCTTTTCTTTACCTTTTTTCATCTTTATTTAGTGAATCCAAAAGTATTTCTCCCAGTCCTCTCGCCGCGATATCCCATTTAGAGTTCACTTTTTTAATTTTGAAAGTGACGTTCCAAAATGAATATTTCCTCACTACAAATCTTCATTCAAAGAAACATTAATTTAAAAACGTTACTTTTGAAATTGAAGGTCGCCCAGTTTATATATATCTTTTTTATCTTTCAGGTTTAGAGATAACTTGCATAGAATTGAAGGGGATATTAAAAGACGCAACGACAAAATCATAGAAGAAAATGAAAACAGGAGTAAGGAAAACAGGAGCATAGTTCATTATCCGTATAGTAGACTTTTACCAAAAAATATTCCGAATTCAATTGCAATTTGAAAAAAAATCAGTTACTTTGATTACACAGTTAAATCACTATACTATGTACTATCGCAAATATATGTGGAATTGTAACATGTTTTGAATTAATAAAATGTTTGATGTATGTGTTTTATTGTGAATCTCGTACTTATATCATCGTCTTAACATAGTTATCGTTTTCGGATATGTTGTAAAATCTCTGATTTTACCAGACAACAATGTTAGTCATGCTGAAATTTTCTTTCAAAAATTATGTCACTTGCTAGCAAGCTATAAGTAACCAGTAGTTGAAAACGACTACTGACATTCTACTGAGTATATAAAAGTTTTCTTAAAAAATATTTTTTGGCTTCGGAAGTTTAATAGTTTTTCATCAGCTGAACGTAAATTATAATTTTGATTATCAGTAAAATGAAAGTTTTTTCGTAAATAGATATGAACCATATTGGTTTATTGATTTAAATACAAGCATTGCCTTTTGATATTGAATTCGTTTGTCCACATTAAGGTAAAAGCTCATGAAATTAGGTTTCTTACTCTCATATCTAATAATGTATTTATATCCCCAATGAATGGCCATCTACTTCACTTAAATTAATGTATACACATCTTTCAGAAATATTCTAATTTTTGTTGGTAACGATTTATTCGTGTTTTTGGCTATTTATATGTGTATTGTATTTGTTTTTGTGTGCACGTTATCATTTTTGTATATTAAATATGAATATAAGTTTTTAAAATACATTAACTTTAATGAATATGTAGTTAAACGCTAAAAACAAACATTTTCAGGCATTAAGCTTTATTATTTACTGAAATCTAATGAAGATTTTTCAAAGTATTGTCGAACATCAGGCAATAAGAGAAATTTTGGATTTTTGTTTTGTCTTCCAAATACATGTACATTCGGTGAAATATTCTTAATGGATAGTTTCTTTTTAAATTGTATTCCAAATATTAATGTATATTCATGTGTTGAAAACTAAATTGATTGATTGATTGATGTTTGCTCAACGTCCAGTGGCAAATATTTTATGCATGTTCAGGACGAGAACAAATTACCATGTATCTATAAATACAAAAGGTAGGTCTTGTAATAGAAACCGTCTGGGATGAAGGTCGGGAATATTTGGACTGCCACAGGAAAATGAGGGTAAATTGGATTGGGACAGAAATGTTGTCTTGCAACAGGTCACCTACAGACCCAAATTTGTTGCAAGGGTTTTTAACGTGCAAAGAGCGTGGCGCTCTCTCTATACGAGGCATCGGATTAAACGTCCCCATTCTAACCGGATGTGGCTGCGTACTTGTACAACCTCCACATTGAAACGGACGCCCCACAGAAGAAGACCTGTAGTTACAATATTTCTATTCCCTGTCACCCTTGGAGGATGAAAACTAAAGTAAAGGAGAATGATGAGGGGAAATGTTGAATACAAGAAAATACAAGAGACGTGCCATTGTGTTCATATACCAAAGGGAAACATCGTTCACAGCAATAGTAATGGGAATGTTTTGGCAAATGAAGCCAAGATTTTTACAGACAATCCAGATTTTTCGATATAGAATTTTAAACAGATAGATTACTCATTTGTTTGTCCATGTGCTAGCATTTATTTACCAAAAATCCTCAACAACCTTTACAATCCAAAAACAAACCTCGTGCCGAGTCACTTAAGTCGAGCGCACCCTAGAAGGTGTGCTTGAATTGGTCGGTATTTGTATTTTGAACTAATATCTTTATTTAAAATCTTGTTTTTAGGGAAATCATTGCTAGCACTGCATGCAGTTATCCCCTATTTATTAAGTATCCAAATGTCAAATACATGTATAAGAGTGCAAGGGGAAAGGCTGTGGATTTTTTTGTTTATAAAATATCCATATGTTTAGCATTGCAATTATAAAAGGGTACATAATCCTTAAACTCCGAACTATGAAATAAAGAATCAAATGTTTTACTCCATATCAGACTTAATTCATTAAAGGTAAACAGAATAAATTGCACGTATTGTTTAAACACAAGACACAAATTTGTGAAGTGTTGAATTTACGTCCATTAGTTTAAAGTTTAAGAGACAGTTAACGTGATTTTAGTTTTGTATCTGGACCAAATTAAAGAAAAATCCAAGAAAATGCTAATCGGTTATATCTAACATCAATGTATATATGAAGGGAAATGGTGAGTAAATGTCAATAAATATGTCATTTATCTCCCTTCATGGTGATTTTTTCGAGTAAGTTCCGTTGTAACTCCTTGTAATCATTGACAGATATTATCTGATCATTCGACAACGGAAAGGGGAGAGCGATTGAAATAAAAAACAGAAAAACACGTGTGTGACAGTCTGGGAGATGAGTTATCTACATGTACATGTATAACGGAGTAACAAGTAAAGGATGAAAATATAAGTTATTTGTTACGAACAAAAACAAAATATAATTTATTTGTTACGAACAAAAACAGAAAGCGGAAAATCCCTAAAGGAATTGTTTAGTAATAAATAGGTCTGTAAAAGCTAGAGATAACGTCAGTCAAGGTCCCACAATCTCTTGCGTCAATTGATTCTAAATGAGATTAACAATGCATTTTTAAGAAAAGTTATTTTTATGCAATTTATATCGTGCAAGACAGAGGGAAACCTTATAATGTAAATGGGAATGAAAAAGGTATAAGAAAAATATCGAACTCCAAGGTAAATTCTAAAAGAAAGTCCATAAATATTTTCAGAATCAAACGTTAGACGTTATCAACCAAAAGAAAAAATGAAAAAAAAAATGTCGTATTCCAGTCTTGGTACAGGCATTTTTCGAAGAAAATAACGGGTTAAACACTATTTTACAGCGAGCTAAATCTCCCACTTGTATGATATTTGCTTATAGTTCCTTTATATTGACAAAATTGGATGGGCAACCCTGACATAATATGTTAATGTGACAATAATTAAGATTCAGAAGTCAAAACTGTGTAAACATTCATCTCAGACATACATGTACAACACAACTGACTAAAAAATTCAAACATACATACAAATAAATCTAACAAAGTCGCCAACTAAAAAGTTTTTGTAGTTGATATTAAATTTGACAAAGACGCCACCACAACAGTTTTTGTACATGTAGTTGTACACAGTATATAATATACACATTATCAATAAAGTACAAATTAAGAGAAGTAACATATGTAAAACAACACTGTAAAGACCTCTTGCATCCGAATTGCACATCTGGACCAAGATGCAGCAGGAATAACCAATGCAATGAACATTAAATTCGCGTATACGTTTTTTATTTTTTTTTGATAAAGTCAATATCATTTCTAAGTGTTTTTTTTTTTTTTAATGAATCCAATCAAAGTGAAGTAATCCGTTTACCTTTTCCATTAACTTGAAGAACGTAAAAAAATGCCCCTGAAGTTAATAATATAGAAATTAAACGAATTGATAGATCAATAGATCCATGCTAAATGTCCAGCAGCAAACATTACATACATATTCTGGGTATTTATATGTAAATAGGATATGATTGACTTATTGTTGTTTATTTAACGTCCGGTGGCAAATATTTGTCATGCATTTTCAGGACGAAAACTATTATATTAACAATAAAATTCAAAAGGTGATTCTAAATCATTGGTCGACCGGGATGAAGGGAAGAAAATTTAGACTAGTACTGTCCCTGGAAAAGGGTCGTGTTGTTTGTTTGGGTAAGGGCAAAATCTCTACCTTGCAACAGTTCAATGTTTCACTATGGATATAAAAAAGACCAGATAACCATTTAAGTATACCCTATATTATACTAGACTGACACGCTGCTCCTGATTTAATGTGCTAGCTCAAAAGGTAACAGTTTGAGGGAAGACATATCATCTTACTCGGACACATTATTCTGAATCCAAGCCAGACCATATTTACTCGTACTCCTAAATGATGCGTGCTTTTTGGTAATTCCGAAGAAGCAGGAATAGATAACCTAAGTTGTTTTCTGGCGTACGAAATTTTAATCCTGGTATCTATGATGAGTTGATTTATATCTTTGATTTAACTTGACCATCGATTCCCGTTAAACGCACCAATGCTGCTTATAGACCACTTTCGAGTTACTTGAATTTCCGTCAAAAACTTTGGCTTTAGTGAACATCATTCGTGCGTTCAGGGGCATCGTCACTTCCTTCCCATGTTGAGACAGCGGTTGAAAAATTACAATGCTAAATTGCACGAATTATTCGGCAAAATTAATTCTTATCATTGATAATCAGCATGGTATCATTAGGGAATTGTGATTAAGTACCTACGGTACAAACATTATTTCTAGTTTATCCTGCACAATCACGATCACGAAGACGCTTGATAAACATTAATAGTGCAGGGATACAGGCGATCCCCTCTATCTGGTAAATGACGTCATAAAGGCGCGCAAAATTGACGAACTTTTCCGGTAAAGGACATAACTTGAAAGTGGTCTATTAGTTGCACATTTAGTGATTTGCTATTGCCTTCAACGTTATCTATTAGTATTTAACTGAAATGTTAACTTCTATATTCCGTTTTCTACAGTATTTGGATAAATTGTCAAGTAGAGCTCTATCGAAAATTTAGAACAACATATTACTTTGTTCATGCAAATGAATATAAGTTTTTTCTGCGTTTAAGATGCAGGCAGTTTTTTGTAAATGTTTGAAAAGAAATATTAAGCTTTATGAAATACAAACGTCCTATCACTGTTGCTTCTGTTCAAAATTAAGAAAATCACTTAAGATAAAAATAATATATATATATATATATATATATATATATATATGTGGTTCTGAATTGATTAACCAAATTCCAAAATGACTTTGAATAGGTGCCGATTTGACCAGGTACCGATTTGACTTCTACCCATTTTACTGCTTCAATTTTATTTCAATTACGGCGCCATTTCTGAGCAGAATAACATAATCACAAGCTAAATGTAAGGACCAGACAAATATATGATCCTGAGACTCACAATATTGGGACTTTATATTACATGTATATAATGTACCAGCACAGTAGCACAGCAGTGTGTCCATAAATCATTCCTATATGAAGGTATTATACAGACGTGTCGCTGGAATAGTAACTCGAATATTTCAAGTCCTTACCG